TTAGGGACTCGTGGTGAACTCTTTCTAGCGTAAGAAGAAGAGCCCAGCAAATAAATTTTAATAAATCTACCCTCTCTGTGCCTTCTCCGCAGGGAGTCCAAGTGGGCACAACCGGGCGGCCACCCTCATCCCGGCTGACCGGGCCAAGCAGATGTTCGGACCGCCGGTGATCACGGTAAAGACCCCAACAGGGGTGAACAAACGGAGGGGAGCCTGTTTTTATTCAAAATCTGGGGGTCGGCTTGGATCCCAGCCAGCCTTGTCTTACCTGGTGTGTGTGCGTGTATGTGTGTGTATGTGTGTGTGAATTCAGAATAGCAGAGCTGGAAGGGACCGTATAGATCATCTAGTCCCACCCTCTGCTCAGTTTACCATTTCAGACCAAGGGCCCTCCAGTCTCTTCTTTAAAAACGTCCAGGGTTGGAGCATTCACCGCTTCTGGAGGCGGGTAGTTCCGCTGGTTAATTGTTCCAACTGTCAGGAAGTTTCTCCTTAGTTCCAGGTCGCTTCTCTCCTTGATGAGTTTCCATCCGTTGCTTCTCGTCCTGTCTTCAGGCCCCTTGGAGAATAGCTTGACTGCCTCTTCTTTGGGGCAGCCCCTGAGATACTGGATATCATGTCCCCCCTCTTCGTTAAACTAGACATCCCCAATTCCAGCAGCCGTTCCTTGTATGTTTTAGCCTCCAGTCCCCTGATCCTCTTAGTTGCTCTTCTCTGCACTCTTTGTAGCGTCTCAACATCTTTTTTTACACCGTGGTGACCAAAACTGGACGCCGTATTCCAAGTGTGGCCTTACCAAGGCCTTGTAAAGTAGTAGTAACACTCCACGTGATCTTGATTCAGTCCCTCTGTTAATGCAGCCAAGGATTGTGTTAGCTTTTTTGGGGCTGCTGCCGCACACGGCCGGCTCCTATCGAAGTGATTGTCCACTAGGACTCCAAAGTCCATCTCACCGTGACTACTATTAAGCCAGGTTTCACCTAACCAGCACGTGCACTCTGGGTTCTTCCTGCCTAAGTGTCAGACTTTACTCATGTCTGCGTTGAATTTCATTTCGTTAGAAAAGTAAATTTGGCAGCACGAAATGAAAATTTCACTGCTGGTTATGGTTTGTGTGGAGATGCTATGGGTACCACATCTGGATTCGCGCCCAGTGCCCACTGCAGAACCCAGTTCGTGTGTCATGCTAAACCTGGTTTGATTCGTTGCGGCTGTTTGAACAAGCCACGATAAGCCAGGCTCCCGCAGCATCTGAGGCCACCAAGCGTTGTTTACAAGCCCCGAGCAATTCAGTTCACCCAGCACACGAAACTCAGTTACAAGTCAGTTTATCCAAATTTGTGATCACGGCTAGCTGGGGAATTCTGGGATTTGAAGTTCCCCGAGTCTTGAATGTGTAGCCCCGGGTTTACACAGGTAGTCCTCGGCCTCGCGACGGCGAGGCCAGAATTTATGTGGCTAAATGAAACATTTGTTTCGTTGAGTTTTGCCCCATTCTAGGACTTTCCTTGCTATGTCAATTAAGCGAATCACCGTCGTTAAATGAGTAACACCGTTGTTAAGTGAATCTGGCTCCCCCGTTGCTTGTCAGAAGGTCGCAAAAGGGGGGAATCGCACCATCCCTGGACACGGCGACCGTCGTAAGTGTGAATCGGTTGCCCAAGGTCCGAATTTGGATCGCGTGACCCCAGGGTTGCTGCAACGGTCGCTAAGTGTGAAAAACGGCCCTCAGTCTCTTTTTTTCAGTGCCAGACAGTCACTAAATGAACCGTTGTAAGTTTGTGCAACTTTGAGCAGGGAAAATTCCAGCTTTTGGGACTGGAACATCCAGAAAAACAGACCCGAGGCTGCTTCTGACCCCCGCTTTTTTGGGGGGGGGGTCTCTTCTCCCCGACAGACACGGCACTTTGCGACCCAGCCAGCTTTCCCGGCCGGTACCCCGGAACACGGGCAGTACCAAAGCAGCCAGGCCGGGCACAGCCCCTACGCCGTGGGGCAGGGCCAGCACACGGTGCCCGTCAGCTACGCCAGCAGTCAGTCCATCCGAGGTGAGCAGGAGGAGAGGATGGAGGGGGGTGGCTGGCTCCTGAGACACCTGTGGGGCAGAACAGGCCAGGATTAAACCAACATCCCCTCTCCTCCTCCCCCTCTCCCCCCTTCCAGGACCCTCGGCTTTCTCCACGATGCAGTATTTGCCCCAGCAGCAACCTGGTTACGCCATCCACGGTCACTTCCCCGCCGCCCAGGCAGGTAAGTCCCGGGATGGAGGGTCGGGAGAGGGTCCGTGAGGTCATCCATCCCATCCCCACCCTTTCGGAGAGGGCGGCCAGCCAAGGATTCTTTGCGCGTCTCCCCTTTTTTTGATGATGATTTGCGCCCTTTTTTTTGCCCCTGCTTAAGGATTCATCCCGCCCAGCACCACCATCCCTCTCCAGAAGCAGCTGGAACACGCGAACCAGCAGTCCGGCTTTTCCGATTCGGTGAGTTCGGATCCTGAGCGTTTCCTGGCTTGGCAGGATGCGGCGCAGGCGTTTTTCAGAGGGGCGGGGCTGTTAAGGCTGGCAGGTTGGTCGAGCGGTTGAGAGGCCAGGCTAGGAACCAGGAGGCCCCGAGTTCTAGTGCCGCCTTAAGCATAAAAGCCAGCTGGATGACTTTGGGCCAATCACCAGGAGACAAGGAGTTCTAGTCCTCATTTAGGCATGAAAGCCAGTTGGTGACTTTGGGCCAGTCACCAGGAGGCTGTGAGTTCTAGTCCCACCTTAGCCATAAAATCTGGCTGGGTGACTTTGAGCCAATCACGAGGAGCTGTGAGTTCTAGTTCCACCTTAGGCATGAAACCTGGCTGGGTGATTTTAAGTCAATCACGAGGAGCTGTGAGTTCTAGTTCCACCTTAGGCATGAAACCCGGCTGGGTGAGTTTGGACCAATCACCAGGAGCTGTGAGTTGTAGTTCCACCTTAGGTATGAAAGCCAGCTGGGTGACTTTTGGCCAATCAGCAGGAGCCGTGAGTTCTAGTCCAACTGGGTGACCGGTCCTTATTGAGCTCCTCCACGCAGGACCTCCTGTGGGAGGATCCGAAGCCCTCTTTTCCTGTTCAATCCGGAAGGTAGAAAGGCGTCTATGGAATAAAAATAGTTCGGGGGCCGCCTGAAGGCATCTAGACGGGCTGAGCGCCTCCCCCGCCTCTGCCCTCCAGCGGAGGGAGGGGGTCCATTTCAGAGAAGGGGGGGGGCTGATCCTTTGTGCTTCCCCCCCCCCTTTTGTCTTTCAGTCCACCCTTCGTCCGATGCACCCCCAGGCCCTCCACCCCAACCAGGGTCTCCTCCAGGCCTCCCAGCTCCCGGTCCAAATGCAGACCACCGCCAAGGTAAGGCCGGGATTGGCAGAGCTTGCTCCCAAGTGTTTGTGTGTGTGTGTGTGTGCGCGCCACAATTGCAGTTCAGTTTTGCTGCTTTCCTGGAGCGAAATCGAGTCGCTGATTCCAGCCCTTTCCTTTCTCCGTCCTGCTCCGAACTGCTCGCTTTTATGGGCGCTTTTATTCTTTTTAGTTATTTATTATCTTTAGTTATGTATTATATTGGTTTGCCCCCCCTCCCCGGGGTTCAAGGCGAGGGCTCACAAGATAATCCAGGCAAGCAGAGATGTAGAAACAGGCAATAAAAGATTAAAAAACGGATGACAAGTGCCGAAAGGAAACTGTTCAATCATCTTTTCTTTCTTTCTTTCTTTCTTTCTTTCTTTCTTTCTTTCTTTCTTTCTTTCTTTCTTTATCACGCTGCAGCCCACTTTGGCCTACACTCACCCGGCCCGGCCTGCCTCTCCGGGGAGCTTCCCGCAGCAGCCACACACGGTAGGTTTTGCCTTGACCGACGGGAGGGGCGAGGGAATTAAAGCAAAGGCCGCTGTGGGGCTAGAACTCCTGGCGCCTGGTGACTAATCCAAAGTCACTCAGTTGGCTTTCGTGCCCAAGGCAGGATTAGAACTCGCTGTCTCCTGGGGATTGGCTTAAAAGTCACCCGGCCGGCTTTCATGCCTAAGGCAGGACTAGAACTCACCGACTCCTGGCGATTGGCCCAAAGTCACCCAACTGGCTTTCATACCTAAGGTGGGACTAGGACTCATTGTCTCCAGATGATTGGCCCAAGCTCACCTATCTGGCTTTCATGCCTAAAGCGGGACTAGAACTCGCCGTCGCCTGGCAATTGGCCCAAACTCACCTAGCTGGCTTTCATGCCTAAATGAGGACTAGAACTCACCGTCTCCTGCGGACTTATCCAAAGTCACCCAGCTGGCTTTCATAAGGCGGAACTAGAACTCACCCTCTCCTGGTGATTAGCCCAAACTTACCCAACTGCTTTCATGCCCAAGGTTGGGACTAGAACTCACCGTCTCCTAGTGATTGCTTAAAGTCACCCAGCCGGCTTTTATGTCTTAAGGCGGGACTAGAACTCACCGTCGCCTGGTGATTGGCCCAAGGTCACCCAGTTGGCTTTCACGCCGAGGACGGGACTAGAACTCACTGTCGCCTGGTGATTGGCGGAGGTCGCCCAGACAGCTTTCATGCCTAAATGAGGACTAGAACTCATGGTCTCCTGCAGACTTATCCAGAGCCACCCAGCTGGTTTTCATAAGGCGGAACTAGAACTCACCCTCTCCTGGTGATTGGCCCAAACTTACCCAACTGCTTTCATGCCCAAGGTGGGACTAGAACTCACCGTCTCCTAGTGATTGCTTAAAGCCACCCAGCCGGCTTTTATGTCTTAAGGCGGGACTAGAACTCACCGCCCCCTGGTCATTGGCCCAAAGTCGCCCAGCTGGCTTTCACGCCCAAGGCAGGACTAGAACTCACCGCCCCCTGGTTTCTGGACCACCCCTTAACAGTTACATCATCGCTGATAACAGTTGTGTTTTTAAACCTCTTTTTTTCTCTCTTTTCAGTCTGGCTTCCAAACTTCACCCCAGGCCGCACCTCGGCACCCTTTTATACAGCACCCGCAAGGCCAGCGTTTCTACCACAAGTGAGCCCCGGCAGACACACACACACAAACACACACACACACTGCTTCAGCATCCTTCCCCGCCCGCATGCCCGGCCTGAATTCGGAAAGTCTCTCTCGGACGAGTGTCTGCCTGGGAATCCTTTTCTCCTTTCCTGCCTTCCTCTCCAGGAATGTCATGAATTTTGCCAAATTGCAACTGTGGCGTTCTCCAAATACATTTGTGTGGCTTTCGTTTCACGCAGGGCGAGCCTGGTGTGGTTTCTTCCGGTTTTTCGTCGCCCCGCGGAGCGTTGGGGTGGGGAGGACGCGAGTGCAAATCACACCGCAGCGAAGAAAGGGAAACACGTGTTTTTGCGTGCAGTGTAGGGGTCTTCGAACTTGGCCCTTTGATGGCTTGTGGACTTCAACTCCTAGAGTTCCTCAGCCAGGCACGCTGGCTGAGGAATTCTGGGAGTTGAAGTCCACCAGTCATCAAAGGGGGCATAGTTCCCTCACGCCGGCTGAGGAATTCTGGAAGTCCACAAGTCATCAAAGGGCCAAGTTTGAAGATCCCTGCTTGTGGATTTGAACAACCAGAATTCCTCAGCCAGGCACGCTGGCTGAGGAATTCTGGGAGTTGAAGTCCACAAGTCATCAAAGGGGGCATAGTTCCCTCACGCCGGCTGAGGAATTCTGGGAGTTGAAGTCCACAAGTCATCAAAGGGGGCATAGTTCCCTCACGCCGGCTGAGGAATTCTGGGAGTTGAAGTCCACAAGTCATCAAAGGGGGCATAGTTCCCTCACGCCGGCTGAGGAATTCTGGGAGTTGAAGTCCACAAGTCATCAAAGGGTCCTAGTTCCCTCACTCTGGCTGAGGAAATCTGGGAGTTGAAGTCCACATGTCATTAAAAGGTAATAATTCCCTCACACTGGCTGAGGAATTCTGGGAATTGAAGTCCACAAGTCATAAAAGGGCCCTTGTTCCCTCACGCTGGCCGAGGAAATCTGGGAGTTGAAGTCCACATGTCATTAAAAGATCATAATTCCCTCACGCTGGCTGAGGAATTCTGGGAGTTGAAGTCCACACATCTTTAAGGCTGGGAAAACACCGAGGTCACTTCACAGTCCTGTGCCACTTACACAACAGCTTGCAATTTAAATCATTGCAACTGATCATAGTTTCCCCAAGATCTTCCAGGATAATCCTGGTTTTGTTTATTGGGAAGCCATCAAAAGCGGAGCTAAACCTGCATCTGGGTGGTTCCACACGATGGACAATTTAACCATCTTCAGCATCCTTTTAGCTCAGGTGTGGACAATCTACGGCTCCAAAAAGATCTCTGGACTTCAACTCCCAGAATTCCTGAGCCAGCCGTGCTGGCTCAGGAATTCTGGGAGTTGAAGTCCACCGGGTGTAAAAGGGGCTCCTGGGTGCCCGTCCTGCTTTAGCTGAGGAAGATGCGGGATTATCAAGATGTTACCTGTTGGACAGGTGGGTCCTTCCTGAAGATGCTGAGATACAGAGTCTCCCTGGGACGAAGCCAACGGTTCTTAGATGTTGGCCACCAACGGAGATGCTTGACCACTAGGGAATGCTGCCTCTGGTGGTTGACCTCTGATGGCAACCAGGCCACCATATTCCACATCCATGATGGGTTTTGGAGTGGTCTTCCAAGGCAGGTCCATTTGGAAAGACGGCAAAAGGGACGGAGAAGGCGAGCTCTGGATAGGAAGCCATCATACTCTACATATCCATTTAGTGACCAAGGTCACAACGGCACTGAGGAAAGTGACTTGTGATTCTTTTTCACACAACTGCGGCAACATCCCCGGAGCCGTGATCAAAACCCGGACGCTTGGCAACTAACTCACATTTAATGAGTCTGGAACAAGAAAGATTTTAAACCTCTGTAGCCGTGTTTCTTAAAATACAACCTCTCAAAGTTTGTCTGCAATAATGAAAATTATTTGCCATGCCTTGAATATATTTGCAAAGCTATAAAGCAACGTCTCATTTTTTTATATTTTATTGGTTGAAAAATCACGTAGGGTTCTTGCGTGAAAAATATTCATGTTAATATCTAGTTATTTTTCCGTTATTCGTTCAGCAATGGTTCATTTATGGGGACGAAATCCCTTTTGAAAATTAAAAGGGTGAATCTCGATAAACACAATGCATATAAAACAAAAGCTCTTTAGGGGGGGTTCTCGATTTTAAAGTTTTAAAAGCAGGAAAGAGTCGTGAGGATAAAAGGTTTTTAAGGAACACCCTTAGCCCAATTTCAGGTTTTTTTTGAAAATACTCATCTCCTTTCTCAAACCTGAGCAGGGGGTTGGACTAGATGACCTCCAAGGTCCCTTCCAACTTTATTATTATTAAACCTAACCATCCTCATCTCTTTCCGTGTCTTTTTAGGCGTGTGTGTACTAAGCGTTAAGACACCCAAAGATACTATTTATAATACTTAGGTCACGCGATTCCCCTTTTGTGACTTTCTGGCAAGCAAAATCAACGGGGAAAGCCGGATTCGAAGTCGGGATCCGTCGAATGAACTACGGCAAGTCGTAAAAAAAGGGGCAAAATTCAATTTAACAGCTGTCAGTGCTTAGCGACGGAAACTTCGGGCTCCGTTGTGTTGTTTACAAAAATTATTGGCTTCCCATCTTTCCGTAGGGTGACTCTCGGCGGCTTACAGTTACATACAGTACATTGTGGTCGTAAATCGGGGACTCCCCGTATTTCCTCCTCCACCCCCCCCCCCCAGGCCAGGCTCCTGCAAGGGTGTTTTCACCTCTTCGGCTCCTTCTCCCCTCGCCAAGGAAAGCCGGGTGCTGGTCAAAAACATCGGCAATCTCCCCCTCCCCAAAAGGAGGCGCGTCAATGCGCTGACGGACGCCGCCATCCCCCCTCCCCAAAAAACCCATGCTGGCTTTTCTTCTTCCCTCTGTTGCTGCACCCCACATCCCTTCCCCTTGGGTCTCTCCCCTAGCCAGGGCAAGGCTGCCCCCCTCCTGCCCCCTTGCAAGGGATGGGAGAGGTGGGGAAAGAGAGGAGAGGGAAAAGGAGGGAGAAGGATGGAAAGGGAGAGGAGAGGGAGGGAGGGAAAGAGGGAGGAAAAGGGAAAGGGAGGGAGAGAGAGCAGAAAGGAGGAAGGGAGGGAAAGGGATGGAGAGAGCGGAAAGGAGGGAGGGGAAAGGGAAAAAGGGAGAGGGAAGGAGGGAGAGGGAGGAAGCGGGAAGGAGAGGGAGGGAGGGAAAGGGATGGAGAGAGTGGAAAGGAGGGAGAGGGAGGGAAAGGGAAAAAGGGAGAGGGAAGGAGGAAGAGGGAAAGGGAGAGGAAAGGGAGGGAGAGAGCAGAAAGGAGGAAGGGAGGGGAAGGGATGGAGAGAGTGGAAAGGACAGAAAGGGAGGGGAAAGGGAAAAAGGGAGAGGGAGGAAAAGGGAAGGAAAAGGGGAGGGGGAAGGGACGGAGAGAGAGCAGAAAGGAGGAAGGAGGGAGGGAAAGGGAGAGGGAGAGAGGGAAAGGGATGGAGAAANCCGTTTTATGAGCTTTCTGGCCACAGTGGTTAAGAGAAGCACCGCAGCTGATAAGTCGGTAACCGGGTTGTTAGTTATAAGGATTTTATATCTCTATATCTCTATCTATAGATGATAGATAGATATTGATGGATGGAGATAGATAGATAGATAGATAGATAGATAGATAGATAGATAGATAGATAGATAGATAGATAGAGATAGATAGAGATAGATAGATAGATAGAGATAGATAGATAGATAGAGATAGATAGATAGAGATAGATAGATAGATAGATAGATAGAGATAGATAGATAGATAGATAGATAGATAGATAGATAGATAGATAGATAGATAGATAGATAGATAGAGACAGACAGACAGACAGACAGACAGACAGACAGACAGACAGACAGACAGACATGGATAGACAGATAGATATGGATGGATGGATAGATAGATGATAGATAGACAGACAGATATGGATAGAGACAGACAGATAGACAGATATGGATGGATGGATGGATAGAGACAGACAGACATATATGGATAGATAGACATGGATGGATAGATGATAGATAGATGATAGATAGACAGATATGGATAGAGACAGAGACAGATAGACAGATATGGATGGATGGATGGATGGATACAGACAGACAGATATGGATATGGATACAGATGATAGACAGACAGATATAGACAGACAGACAGATATAGACAGACAGATATAGATAGATAGATAGATAGATAGATAGATAGATAGATAGATAGATAGATAGATAGATAGATAGATATAGAGATATATACCCATTTCATTCTGATGGTTTAGCTAAGCTTGTGTATCCGCCGTGCGCCCAGTAAACGGGCCGAACCCGAGGACCCGGGGCCCATCCTCACCAGTATTTCTTCTCCACTGTCGTATTTCTGTTCGATCTCCTTGCCCAGGTCTCCCTCAGGGAGACGCAGATCCTCCCGGACATCCCCGCTGTCCTGGAGCAGAGACAGGTAGCCATCCTGGATGCCAATAAGCTGCGACACAAGAGGGAGGGGAAGTGTCAACACGCGGCGGAATGAAGGAGAAACACCCCGACAGTGAGGACAATTCACCAGTGGAACAGCTCGCCACCCACCCACCCCCGGGCCTACCTACCTGGAAGTCATTTCTCTTGATGTTGGGCACGTCCATGTTGTGAGTTGAGGGGCAGATATCTTCGTATTTTTTCCCAGTGAAGATGTCTATGCCGACGAGATGCACCTAGGATTCCAGGAGAGGGAGAGAACAGCCTCAGCACAATGCCAGATAGTAGCAGTAGTAGTAGTAGTAGTAGTAGTAGTAGTAGTAGTAGTAGTAGTAGTAGGAGGAGGAGGAGGAGGAGGAGGAGGAGGAGGAGGAGGAGGAGGAGGAGGAAAAGGACTGTGGGGTCCTTGGTGCTCTCTGAGCTTGCAGACATTTCATGACCCTCCTAGGGAACATCATCAGGGCTAGAAGGGAGGAAGGAAGGAAGGAAGGAAGGAAGGAAGGGAGGAAGGGAGGAAGGAAGGAAGGAAGGAAGGAAGGAAGGAAGGAAGGAAGGAAGGAAGGAAGGAAGGAAGGAAGGAAGGAAGGAAGGAAGGAAGGACTGTGGGGTCCTTGGTGGTCTCTGAGCTGGATGGTTTCCTTGCAGACGTTTCATGACCCAACTAGGGAACGTCATCAGTGCTAGAAGGAATGATGTTTGTGGAGGAGGAGGAGGAGGAGGATGACTGTGGTCTCCTTGCAGAAGTTTCATGACCCAACTAGGGAACATCATGAGTAAAAAAGAAGAGTGGGGTTCGCAGAGGAGAGGGAGAAGGACTGTAGGGTCCTCTGAGAACTTGATGGCTTTTCTCAAGACGTCACTTGACCCAACTAGGGAACGTCATCAATGCCAGAGGGAGGTGGGGTTTGGAGGAAGGGGGGGTGGGAGAGGAAGCCGTGCCTGGCAAAGCAGCTCCAGGGAGGCCCTTTCCAACAGCAGCAGCACACCCCCCCCCTCGGCTGTCCTGCTCCTCCCTCCCAGATTTTATTTTATAATGGAGGATTTTAATGTTTCATTGGGTTTACATTGTAAGCTGGCCGGAATCCCTGCATACCAGACGGGTGGCAAATAAAATGTCATAGTAGATAAATAAACTTTCAGGCATTCCAGTAGCATCCACACATCTTAAAAAAGTTGATGAGGTTGGACTATATGTCTCTGGGGCCATCTCCTCCTCCTCCTCCTCCTTTCCACAAACCCCCCTCCCTTCTAGCACTGCTGATGTTACCTACTTGGGTCATGAAATGTCTGCAAGAAAGGCATTGAGACCCCCAAGGACCCCACAATTCTCCTCCTCCTCCTCTTCCTAGTTCCCTAGTTGGGTCATGAAACGCCTGCAAGGAAACCACGAAGCTCAGAGAGCACCAAGGACCCCATAGTCCTCCTCCTTCCTCCCTCCTCTTCCTCTTCCTCCTCCTCCTCCTTCCACTCAGCAAATCTGTCAAAGCAAGAATATTCAATATTACATGACACCCTCCCTTCTAGCACTGATGATGTTCCCTAGTTGGGTCATGAAATGTCTGCAAGAAAACAAGCAAGCTCAGAGAGCACCAAGGACCCCACAGTCTTCCTCCATCTCTTCCTCTTCCTCCTCTTCCCCTCCTCCTCTTCCTCCTCCTTCTCCTCCTCCTCTCTGGAAACCCCACACTCCTTCTAACACTGATGATGTTCCCTAACTGGGTCACGAAATGCCTGGAAGAAAACCACCCAGCTCAGAGAGCCCCAAGGGCCCCAGGGTCCAGCTCCTCTCCCCCTAGCACTGATGACGTCCCCTAGGAGGGCCATGGAAACGTTTGCGAGGAAAAACGAAGATCAGAGAAAGCGGCAAGGACCCCCGGGTCCTGCTCACCCTCCTCCTCCTCCTCCATCTGGCCAGCTGCACAATGGGACACACACACACACACACAACACACACAGAGGGCAAGCAAGGGGGAAGATGCCACTCAACGCCCCGTGGAAAGCCTTCTCCCCCCCCCCTTGCCGGGCACTTACTTTGGCGTGGCCGTGCTTGCCCGTCTTGGAGGTGGACATCTCCACAATCTTGCAGGGACGGCCCTTGAGCACCACAAAGCCGTTCTTGCGGAGGGCGGAGCACTGCATGGGGAAGGTGGCGGAGGCCCCAGCATCGCCGGTCTCAAAGTCGAGGTCATCAGCCATGGTGGATCAGGTGTTGTGGAAACCGCTGGTCCAGGAGGAGGAAGAGGAGGAAGAGGAGGAAGAGAGAGAGAGAGAGTCAGCCGGCTGGAATGAGACAAACCCCGCCGGGGAAAAAAGACGGAGGCGGCACCCCAGGGCACAGCAACCTCTTCCAAGGCCGAGGAGGAGAAACACGCCCACGGGAAGTTGCCATACCCGCCGGTTGGCACGTCACAAGCACACAAGCCAAGCTGCAGGAGCCGGAAAAGGAAAGGTATAAAATACAGGATGGTGCCCTGGGATGCACAGAAAGCAGGGGGGTCTTCAAGCTTGGGCCCCTTTCATGACTTGTGGACTTCAACTCCCAGAATTCCTCAGCCAGGCACGTATTTTGTTTTTGTTTCAACTCCCAGAAGTCCCCAGGCAGCAATACCAGCTGGGGCGTTCTGGGAGTTGACGTCCAGCCATCTTGTGGACTTCAACTCCCAGAATTCCTCAACCAGCGTGAGGGAACTATGACCCTTTGGTGACTGGTGGACTCCAACTCCCAGAATCCCTCGGCCAGCGTGAGGGAACTATGACCCTTTGATAACTGGTGGACTTCAACTCCCAGAATTCCTCAGCCAGCGTGAGGGAACAAGGACCCTTTGATGACTTGTGGACTTCAACTCCCAGAATTCCTCAACCAGCGTGAGGGAACAAGGACCCTTTGATGACTTGTGGACTTCAACTCCCAGAATTCCTCAACCAGCGTGAGGGAACTAGGACCCTTTGATAACTGGTGGACTCCAACTCCCAGAATTCCT